GACCAGATGACTGGAGGATAGCTACTGTGACTCCAATTTTTAAAAAGGCTCCAGAGGCGATTCCGGCAATTACAAGCCATTAAACCTAACTTCAGTATCCAGGCAAAGTGGTTGAAACTATAGTCAAGAAGATATAGATAGACAAGAGCATCAAGACAGATAGATGAATACCATTTGTCAAGGAAGAGTCAACATGGCTTTTGTAAAGGGAAATCATACCTCACCAATCTATTAAAATCTCTGAGGGGGTCAACAAATGTGGAGATGGGTGATCCAGTGGATATATGAACTTAGACTTTCAGAAAGCCTTTGACAAGGTCCCTCATCAAAGGCTCTTAAGCAAAGTAAGAAGTCATGCGATAACAGGGATGTCATAGATCAGTAGCTAGTTAAAAGACAGGAAACAAAGGGTAGGAATAAATGCTCAGTTTTCAGAATGGAGAAAGGTAAATAGTGGTGTCCCCCAGGGGTCTGTACTGGGACCAATGCCATTCAACGTATTCATAAATGATCTGGAAAAAGAGGTAAGCAGTGACATGGCAAAATTTGCAGATGATACAAAACTACTCAAGATAGTTAAGTCCAAAGCAGATTACAAAGAGTTACAAAGGGATCTCACAAAAGTGAGTGACTGGGCAACAAAATGGCAATTGAAATTCAATGTTGATAAATGAAAACTAATGTACATTGGGAAACATAATCTCAACTATACCTACAAAATGATGGGATCTATATTAGCTTTTACCACTCAAGAAAGAGATCTTGGAGTCATTGCAGATAACTCTCTGAAAACATCTGCTCAATGTGTAGCAGCAGTCAAAAAAGCTAACAAAATATTAGGCACCATTAAGAAAGGGATAGATAATAAGACAGAAAATATCATAATGCCCCTATATAAATCCATGGTAAATCCACATCTTGAATACTGCATGCGGATCTGGTCACCCCATCTAAAAAAAAGATATATTATTATTGTAAAAGGTAAAGAGAAGGGCTACAAAGATGATTAGGAGTGTGGAATAGCTTCCATATGAGGAGACATTAAGAAAACTGGGACTTTACAGTTTGGAAAAGAGACAACTAAGAGGGGATACGGTAGAGGTCTATACAATCTTGAATGGTGAGGAGAAAGTGAATATGGAAATGTTATTTGCTTCTTCACATAACACAAGAACTAGGGGTCACACAATGCACAGTCCACCTATAGAACTTATTGCCAGGGGATGCTGTGAAGGCCAAAACTATAACAGGGTTCAAAAAGGAATTAGATAAGTTCATGGAGGATAGGTCCATCAAAGACTATTAGCCAATATGGTCAGGGATGCAACCCTATACTCCAAATGTTCCTAGCCTCTATTTATCAGAAGCTGGGAGTGGATGACAGGGGATGGATCACTTGATGATTGCCTATTGTGTTCATTTCCTCTGAAGCATCTGGGATTGACCACTGCTGGAAGACAGGATACGGAGCTAGATTGACCATTGGTCTGACTCAGTATGGCAATTCTTATGTTCTTATACATACACCTGATACATCTTAGTCCACAGATCAATCCTGTAGGGTTGGCAAGTCATATCTGATCTGGGTTGATGTGAGATGGTGGTGATGGATTTGTAGCGATGTGAAAGATAGGAAGGGTGATCTCGTGGCTAAGGAACTGGACTTGAGCTCAGGAGATATGGGTTCAGGTCTCTGCTACTCCACAGCCTTTCTGAGTAACTCTAGGCAACTCCATTAATCTCTCTGTGTCTGAGTTCTCCAGCTGTAAAAAATAAGAGTATAATTACGTGCCTACCTCACAGGGATATTGTGGAATTAAATCCATAAATACTCGGGAGGCATTCAGACACTACTGAGATGGGGGTCATTTTAGTACCCAGAGAGATCAATTTGGTAAACTGGCTTCTTTACTCAGAAACCTGGCACTTACCTTTCCCATTCTGCATTACCAATTTGCAAACCAGTCTGTCAGCAGCTACATCAACTGTGCAGACTTGTGTGAGAAAGATTTCAGTTCAGTTAGAGAATCCACAAATACCAAGATACATCCATAACTTTTAGAGGAGTGTGGAATAGAGCCAACAAAGTCAATGCACAGGACACCAGTGTGAGAGTCTGAGACAGTGTCCACCAACAAAGTGTCAAGCTGGACTGTGAAAGAGACCAGTGATTGCCCCTGTGCAGGATGACAGCCAATTATTATATTTTCAACAACTACTTTACTACATAATGACAAACTGATCCAAGGACTAGCACTGAAACAGAGAAGACATTTTTGCTGGACTCAGCTAAATATTGGTTTACTGAGGTGGGTGGGCATAGGGGGATGAGTGTTGGGACAGGAGCGGCTCTCAGATCTGCATGCTCTTGTTCCAGGCACACCATAGCAGAGGAACTCCCAAGAGTAACACCACTGTTCTGAATCTGCCAGTCTTTATACCTTACATATATCCAATGCATTCCCTCCTTAGAACAGCCTGGGAACTTTTAAAAAATAAATGATCACTGCACTCCAACGCCTCAGTCAAATAGTTATCCAGCCTCACCATCAGCAAAAGGTAAATACCAGAACACCACAATCAATGACTAATACAGCTACTACCCTACATGATTCCCTTTTCATGTGGTGATATCCATATCCCCTTAGCCATTTTTTCCATGGCTTACACTTGTTAGTACACAGGTACCACATGTGAAGTGATCTTTGGGATTTAGGGAGTCTATTACAATAGCTGCCTGCTATGTAGCTGCTTCTCACAATAGCTTCAGAGGGAAGCAGGGAATGTGTAAAGCTGTATTATAAAGGCTGTTCAAAACACAGACATACTAATCCCTCCCCGAGGAACAGCTGGTAGACTGGATTGTTCTACTGAATACACTCAGGTCAGAGGAGCACATAGTGAAATCAGTAGTAGGTACATCCCAGGGCAGCCTCTGATATAGCAAATTCAAAAATCTGGCCTGTCCAAAAAAAAAATGGGACTGTCAAGGCACCTCAGACATATCCTCAATCAGGGTCTTTAGTGTATTCTAGACATACATATTTTTCATTATAAAGGTTGCAAAGTCAAGTACTAAAAAGTTAGGAAATGCCAGAATTAAGGTTGCCTGTGCAACCTTAATTGGCCTCCATGTGTGTATGCATTATGATACAGTTTTTAATTACATGATCACCTACTATTTTTCTACAATACCCCTGCCTCATTCAGTGCACAGGATGGATAGTTTAATACTTAATATTTTGTTTTATCTTCATTGTTCAATACACTGACCTAGGCCTTATTTGCTGCACACTAACCCAGCTCTGAATACAGAATTATTAATTTCTTCATGGGCTTTTCTATGGCGCTCATCACTACAATATCTGAGTGCTACACAAACATTAATTCATTTATTTTCACAACAGCCCTGTGAGATAAAGGAGTGTTATTATCCTAATTTTACAAATGGGGAACTGAGGCATAGAGAGATTAAGGTCAAAAGTATCCATTAATTTTGAGTGCCCAATTTGAGACACCTAGGATCTGATTTTTCAGATTAGTTACCATTATATAGCACTTAATATGCACAGTTGCCATTGACTTCAGTCACAGCTGTGAGTGTACAGCACCTGCAAATCAGACTCCAAGCTCTCAAGTCAGACATCCAGAAAATGAGGAACACACAATTACTGACCAAATGTGAAAAGTCTGGTTTAAGTGATTTTGCTCAGCATCACACAGAAACTCTGACACAGAGGCAGGGATAGAATCCAATTTTCCAGGCAGCATTCATTTGTCTTAAACATGAGACCTTCATTTCTCTTCCTTCTGTCCCTTGCCTCATTCACTACACACCTTCCAACTTCTGCAGTAACTGAACTTGGGGTCCTACTGACTATACCCTCCTGCATTCCGCAACCCTAATTCATCCCCAGAGCAAGTCCAGCCTGTGCACTGGGGCCTGTGGAAAAATAGTATGTTATGTAATTAAAGACTGTATAATAATGTATATGCACAAGGGGAATAAATTAAGGCTACCTTCCCGACCTCTGTGTTCCTCATCCCAGTCCAGTTCTCCTAACCTAGCCAGTCCCAGTCAGGCTTCTCATCCCAGTCAAAGTCTCATTGCCCAGCAAGATCTAATCTCACAGTGCCGTCTCAGTGTTCCCCCTCAAACTGCCAGTCCCACTCTCCAATTAGTCCCTGTTCCCCACTTCTGGCTCCTCAGCCAATCTGTCTCTCTCCCCAACTGGGGAGACTGCCCCCAATGTTTCCAAAGTGGTTGAGGGCAGGCCTGAACCATAACTAATTTGCAAGCAGCTGGTTATGGCAAAGGACCCAGCTACCCCACTGCACAGGTCTGAAAATATAGTTTGACCATTCAGCACCCAGCCCACCTCCTTTGATAGATGCCTCAAGGTGCTCTGGCGCTTTTGACAAGTCCAGCCATCACCTTTGAAATCTGTCAGGATGCCCATTACCTGCTCATCACTCATATTGAGGGCCATTTCTTGGGTTGCTTGGAGTCATGTAATCTTTTGCAAATTTTAGCCTTATTGAGTAGTTCATAGCTGTGTGGTGAAACTGTGATATCAGACATTATGACGATTTGCCCAATCAGAGTGCAATTTGGGTGCCTTTGCATACTGTAATCCTATTGGTTAAAAGCCTTCTAGTACTGACACTGAAATCTTTAAATATGACCTTCTTGGATGTCACAGCTATACAGTATGAAGGGATATATTCCTTAAATTAACAGTTATCGAACTATCTGCTTTTTGTCCATAGCTTCTGAAGTGCTTGGGAGCTCTTTACAGATTGTAATCCACATAAGGAAGTGGGTAATAAGCATATTTACAGATAATTCAATTTATATTGCCTGCTGCCAATGTTGACAGATGAAATGAGAAAACCATTATGACACAATGTACTTTCATCCTAAAAGCATAAAGTACTCCGAATAATAGTTCTGGATTTTGGGGCTCCAGACAAAGAAAGGCAAGTTCCTGGAAACTTACTTTCACTAGTTGAATAGTCCTGTGGATCAAGTATTCCTGACTCCTGCAGTGATCTAATACAGGAGTCCACCAGCTCAAGACCAGTTGTGAGCTCATCCTCTATATCCTTCTGACCGTCTGTAATAAAAATTGTAAAAAATGTTAAAGAATATAAAGAAAATACAAAAGATAAAAACAATGACATAGAACCAATTAAAAATTCACAGCTAGTCAAGGGAATGGTAACATTTAAGGTCTAATTTTCAAAGGAGGCTGGAATGGGCAGGTCCAGAAAAATGCACCTATATCCATACTTTCAAACGCCATCCTTTAAAAGTATGGTGTTTGCTATCGATAAGCATATTGAAAAATTCAGGTTTAATTACCGAGATATTTTTCACACTGATCACAATCAGAAACTTTGTACACGACACTCTCTTGTTCTACAACCATTTGTGTCAACACCAATTACTGCCACTTCTCAGGGCCGCCCAGAGGGGGGACAAGTGGGGCAATTTGCCCCAGCCCCCGGGCCTCACAGGGGCCCCGCAAGCCCTGGTTGAGAATCCCTTTCCTCACCCGGCGGCGGTCCGGGTCTTCGGCGGCATTTCGGCGGCGGGTCCTTCAGTGCTGCCAAAGTTGCGGAGTGACTGAAGGGCTCCCCACTGCCGAAATGCTGCCGCCGCAGACTCGAAGCGCTGCCCGGTGAGTACAAGCTCCCCCGCTTTGCCTCAGGCCCCCTGAATCCTCTGGGCGGCCCTGCAACTTCTCTATGGGGATAATTAATAAACAATTTTAATGAAGGCTAGCACATAAAATCCATTATTCTTCTAATTCTTTGTTCTCTTTTGGATAATTTAGACATTACTGGGGAAATATATGTAGATACAGAATCCATCCAAGATATACTTTACCTTGCGTTTGCCAATGAAACTGCTCTTCTGTTGAACTGTAAAAAAAAAATAAAGTGTAAATTAGAAAAGAAACAAATCTTGGGTAAATTATACAAAACCCCTAAATTTTAGAAAAACTCAGTAGTACAGCACTACCATTCAGATTTAAACCTACTCTGTATAATGAAGCTGATCAACGAATGCTAAACAATAACTTTCAAGTCAAATATAAAATGTATTAATTTCCTATAAATATTTTAAATATTGATAATTTGGACAGCATTGAAATTTAAAAAAAATCCAGTTCTGATCAGTTATTGACATATACAAGATTTAATTATAAATTGTGTCCTATCATTTTAAATAATTGAATTAAAACAAAAACAAACTCTTTCAAAAGACAATGCTTTGCCTTGTAACATTTAAAAAACCTCCTCTGTAACTGCTCCCCCTGCACTCCCTCCCTTCATTTTTATAAGAGGAAAAGTAGCTTTTAGAAATGAAGACGTTCTTTGAAAAGATATATTTTATTTATGGATTATGGTCCTGATCCTGCACTTATGCACATACTTAACTTTACTCAGCCGTGGAATTTCAGTGACATCAATAGAACTGTGTATGTGAGTAAAGCCAAGCACATAGATAAGTGTTTGTGGCATGAGAGCCTAAGAGTGGAGTATCTTTTAATTTTAAGAGCATAAGAAACATTTAGGCAGCATGAAGTTTGAACCAGGACCAGAACGGTCATGTACAATTCAGCTGGAATTTTCAGGACCTGCAGTTATCGTTCTTTTGCCTGCATAACTCCAGGTGAAATCAATGGAAGGTTTTTGGTGTTGATCAGCTGCGGGGTTTAGCTCTGTTTAGTGTTGATGCTTAAAATCGATCAAGCTGGAAATTGAGATCATCATTTAGATTATTCAGGAATGATGGAAATTCATGAGGATATACAGTAGATATCATAGGTATATTTTCTGCTGTGGAAGAAAACATGGTACTTAAGGTAAATTGAGTAATATGTACAGTAAGTACACTTCACTACTATGCATGATCTTTCTATTCCTCCTTTACATGTCAAGAACTGTCAGAAAAGGGTACAGTGACTCATGCATCGTTATGGTAATTCATAGATTGCAAGACCGGAAGGGACCATAGTGATCAAAGTGTTTGACCTGCTGTATAACACAGGCCATAGAACGTCAGTATATCTTTTAGAAAAGTGTCCAGTCTTGATTTAAAAAAAAATGTTCAGTGATGGAGAATCCACCACAAACCTTGATAAATTGTTCCTAATTACATAGGTGTAAAGATTCAACCACAATAGTCACAATTAAAAAGTTTTCTTGTACCTTTATACATATGGGTAGGATATTACTAGCTTGAACATCTATTTCCTACACTTATAATGGGGAATAGGATATTATCAGTGGTACCTGCCCATAAAAAAAGCCCAAAACCTTTTTAGCTGTTACCATTATAGATCTATTTATTTGTTCATGTGAGGTTATGAATATATACTTTTTAATGAGAACATAGATTTTTAGATCTTGAATCTTTTTCGCTGTGCAAAAAAGTACTAGGTAAGTTTCTGAATGCCTTGGATGCAAATCTTTATATCTATGTCCAGGGAGCAAGCATATAAGGAAATTAAATTCAGGACCTTCCTTTTGAAGGCATTACCCTTTTTATGGGAAAAATACTAGGGTTAGGTATTAGCTTTATTTGACAGTGACAAAACACAAGGCTGATAACTGTCTAACTTATATTTATTTAAATAATTTTAAATATGTTTATTAAACCCTGCCTCATGTTTGAAGTTTACAACTAATACATTCAAAGTCATAGATTTCTGTTTTCATTTCCAGACACATATAGACATCTAATATCTATGACTTAGGGCACGTCTATCTGAAGAGTTAGTGTATGGCAAGCTAGAGTGTAAATCTACAGCACACTAATGTGCCATTCACTAACTGTCCCTGATGCAGTGCACTAAAAGTTCTGCACTATGGAATTTTTTTCAGTGCATGGCAGCAGGATTCACACAGTTAGTGCGCGTCACACTGTAGCACTGTAGATTTACATCCCAGCCTGCAACAAATTAACTTGTTTATAGACAAGCCCTTAATATTAATCTAGTACAGAGGATATTCATGCCTCGAGGAATTGGCAATGTAATGCAGACCCAGGGATAGGAACATGTTGAATAGGCGCCATAATGCCTTTAATTATTAGGACACAAGAAGTCATCCGGCCCATTTAGTCATGGTCAGAGTTAATATTTTACAAAATAGCCACCAATTTGGATTACTCGGTTTTTGGTAGTCCAACCTGAAACACCTTGGGCCTGATTTTCAGGAGTGCCAAACATCCAGAACTCCAAGTGATGTCAATGGGAACTGTGAGTGCTTGTCACTTCTGAAAGCTAGCCCTGAAGTACTTCAATGTACCAAACCTGAGTTATCCAAAATAATTAGTATCAGCTGCAGTCTAATTTGAAATGAGCTAGTGGTCTTAGTCCATTTTCCACTGGACAGATGTTCACATAATGACCATCATCATAACTGTTATTAAATAGCTAGATGGCAGTCTCAGGTCAGGGAATGAATTGGTGTGAAGCTCGCATTACCCTCTCTGCCAAATTGGTGGGCAGAGGAAGCATGCGTACAATGAAATATGTAGATAAATAGTGGACTATGGTTTCTGCGGCTTTCAATCTGGCAGCTTTCATGAGCGCTAAATTCACAAGAAACTTTTACAAATATTAAGTATAAGGAAAAAAGAAAAGAAAAGGAAAATATTGGCTTGGTCTACCTAATATTTTTAAATTAAACATTGGAAAAAAACACATTTCATTTACCTGTCTTTGATTTGTACAACACAGAACCATTTTTCTGTGCCACGCATAAAATAATCAAAAATGGGAGGTCAAAAAAAGTAGAACATTTGTGAGAAAATAAGAAAATGTTGCATTTTCCAGTTATGTGCAGGATTCTCTTCATAAACACTGGAACTTTCATATGTTAAGTAGCAGATTTAATGACAAATGTCTCTCATCATAATGACATCATTTGATGAATTTGTTAGAAGCTTATGCACCACTACAAAGGATATTAATCTATTCTCAGTTTGGAGAAAAAAAACATGCAGCACCACTTTTTTCTAGTTAAAGAATATACTATTTAGATTTATTATACGGTAAATTCTAATTTCATTGCACATAACTGGCCATTTCTTAGTTACAAGTCGAGACTCCAATCCTATAATTGGATGCATTCATGCTTACCCAAACAAAATCTGATGCAATTTTAAATTGAGAAATTAAAAATAAAGCATCCTTTAAACAGTATGTTCTGGCTTTTCTTTCCTGCCCCTGTGCTTAGAGGGATCTTTTCATCAAAGGATAAATTGACCAACATAGACACCGACCCTCCAATGAGTTCCACAAGTGAAAAAGACTGCCTGACTGAATACAGACCAGTGAAAGTGACTATACACACACGGTGTCAAATGCAAAAAGTAAACATACTTTTTTTCTCTCTCTTTCTTGCTAAGATCTTTCAGTTATCGTTATTGTAGAGTGGCACTGCAACCTGTGTGCCGCTGCAGTTTGAGTTTAATTTGTTTTATACATTGGTTTTCATTTTATTTCATGTTGTTATTTCACATTTGCAAAAAATAAAAAAAAGGTAAAACAAACAAAACACAGGGCTGTAATTATGATTCATTTGCTATAACCTGATGCCACTGCCGTTTATTATTTCTATTTCAAGTTATTCCATTGCATACAAGCCAACCAGTCTGTTTCATTATATTAATATGACATGCAAAAAATCAAATGTTGCCATTTCAATAGACAAGAATGTAATTTGTATTTAGTATATATTTATATGTTCTCTTTTTGGTAGAAGATTGTCTTTGTGGCATTGCTGCAGGCAAGTATCTGAAGAATAGGAGCACAAATGTTCAAAAGTGACTAGTGATTTGGGTTGCCTCAGTTTTTGAACGCTCATCTTGACACACCTTTAGAATGACCTGACTTTTAGAAAAGAATGGTTACTTACCTGTTCTGTAACTGCTCTTCTTCGAGGTGTGTTGCACATGTCCATTACACTTTGGGCCTGTGCACACCCAGTGCACCAAACCCAGAGAATTTTTCCCCACAGCAGTGCCCATTAGGGCGATGCATGCACTCTATGGATGCTAGTGCTCTCAGTTGAAGGTATAAGGTCAGAGATGCCCTGGTCCCCTTTCACTTCCTTCACACCAGAATCCAGGAAGTATAGACTCCAACGTAGAGAGGAAGAAGGATGGGTTGTGGAATGGACATGTGCAACACTTCTCAAAGAACAACTGATGGAGAGCAGGTAAGTAATGGTTCTTTTTTCTTCTGTCAAGTCCCCTTTAAGTGACTCACAAGGAGTTTGGAAAGGAGAGCTTCGTAGTCCCCTGAGCAAAGATTGCAACACCACTCTCCCAAATTTGGCATCAGCTCTCAAAGCTTAAGGAATAGCATAATGACTAATGAATATATGTACTTATGAGCAAGCTGCCGCTCTGCAAATGTCATTGATGGGCACATGACCCAAGAATGCAGCTGATGCTGCTTGTGATCTTCTAGAATGTGCTGAAACCCTCTCTGGTCAAGAAAACGTAGTGATGCCATAGCACAGAGATATGCAGGATGAGATCCAGGATGATATTCTCTGCAAAGAGACAGGTTGTCCTTCATCCTGTCAGAGAAGGAAACAAATAGCTGAGGGGACATTCTAAACTGTTTAGTCTTGCCCAAGAACAAGGCTAATCCCTTGCAAACGTCCAAAGTATGGAACCTCTCCTCATTCCTATGAGAGTGAGGCTTTGGAAAAAAGATTGTTAAATAGAAAGACTAGTTAAGGTGTAAATCCAAAACCACCTTAGTCAGAAATTTAGAATGGAGTCATAAATAAACCTTGTCCTTAAGGAAGATCGTATACAAGGGAGGGGGGTGGTCTGCAACAATGCTCAAAATTCTCCTACTCTCCTGGCGGAGATAATAGCTACCAAGAATGTTACC